ACTGTTAGTTGTGTGTGTATATATAATGACCTACTGTATGATGAGTTTGTGTGGCCAGTGTTAAAAATCAACCTTATAAAAACAGAATGTGTACACACACACACACTAGCTTATTACAAAAGCTAATTAATCTGAAAATAGAAGACATCTTTTGGCCTATACAGAAGAAGTAAAGTACTGAATTAACAGAGTGGAGAAATGTTGAATTATCCTGCATAGATCATATTCATATTTTGTTACTGCAAATGCCCTGTCAGTAAATAGGAAAGCATCTGTGACATTTTTCCTTTGAAAAAGCATATTTCTCTCATTATTGAGCCTTACAGGTTGGCATCTGTTTAAATACCAGCAGCCAGGGACAAAGTGCCTCTGTGTGTATGTGCACTTGTGCAAAGACCTGCAGGTTTAGTTCAACAGGCCAATGTCAGACACTTGGGTTAATTTGCACAAACGGTAAACTCTCCTTGAAGATGAAATCGAGCATGCTCTCAAAGACAAACTGGCTTTGTTTTCTGGCACAATTAAATCTTGAGTGTCTTATGATTTCCAGATGTGTGGAATCATAGATCTTGCTCAGCTGTTGGAGCTAGGACCCTTCTGTTCTGCTGGATATCGGTGTGCCCGCTGCTGTAGTGGGGGCACATTTATAAACTTTCTATGTTAATGAACTGATGAGGTGCAGTATTTCTCATTTTTAGCTTGTCTGCACTTTGATCTGATAGGAAATATTGTAACTGTCAGTTGCTACTTGAAAAGTTCCTATCATGTTAACTAATCTCCACTAAGTAAATACACAGTCTGTTCCAGAGAAGCCTCTGACGGCATCTACAGTATATTCCATTTTTTTATGTTGTTTTTGGATTCACTGTGTTCCCTCCATCTATCTTAAGAGATGGGCTGGCTGAGTGTATCATCTTCAGTTTGATATGATTTGTAGAGAGAAGTAGGAAAAGAGACGTGTGATAAGTGTGTATAATAAATGTGGATGTATGTGTAAATTATTTGATTTTATTTTGGCAAATGTTCATTCTTTGTTTTATTTGTTAATTTACTGGTGTTTGTTTGCTGGTCGGCATCACTCGGAAAGTAATGAATGGATTTGGAGAGGTAGGGTATGATCATCCAGATGGTGCAATTTTCCACCACTGTGAGTGCTGGAAAAGCTGTTGACTGTATGTGAGCCTCTTTGTGGCGAAGTGTGTGTTGAAGCTAGTGATTGTAGCAGGAAGTACACTAGAAAATGAACTCATAATGGACTTAGTTGCATGATAGGTACAAATAAGAATTCATGAGCTGATGACACAAGCATGCAGGGTGATGTAAACAAGACAGGCCAAGACAACAGCCATTGCCACTTTCAGTGTATGTAGTCTCTGTCACTGCTGACCTGTTTCATCTTGGGGAGAGAGTTTGACCACCAGTTGCCACTTTCAGATACAAACCATTTCTTTGGGGTTGTTTTGTGGGATGTTAGGAAACAGGATAAATTGAGATGGATAGGTCTAGCAAAGCTGTTTGTGCATTTTTAACAAGACCATTATTGGTCATTGTTAGATGACAGTTGTTTGTTCTGCAGGTGTTTCCCCTGCCCTACAGTAACTACATTTATTCAGATGGGAAAAATCTTAAACTGTAGTTACTGTTCATGAATAGCTACTCCTGAACTCAGACACGATCAGACACAAACACTGGCTTGCTGTTATATTTACTGCCTTGATGCAGCTGCTGTAGGTGGATTTGTGGTGTCATGGTTCAAGCTTATTTTGGTTCTATATGAAAAAGATTTTACAAATACAGACAGCATTGAAGACTGACCAGGCATTCACAATGATATGAAAATGCCTCAAAAAAGGGTTGAAGAAATGAATAAGCAAAGCAGAAAACAATTCATAGTCATATCTCAGTTTTTGTTGTTTTGGCACAGAGCGTTACATACATTACAGGGCGGGCTGGGGATTTCTGCTTTGTACTACAGTACAGTGTACAATGGTGAGAGGGAGTGGAAGAAGAAGAAACAAATATAAAGACAGAGATGTACTGTCTCTTTATTATTTCGCTGTATGTGTCACTTGATGCTGCATGTTTTAATGTGATTACAGGTAAACTTTATTTTTTACAAGTATGATTTAAGAAAAACCTGCCTTGGCTTTTGCAGTTATGTTGATGTAGGTGAGTGTGAAAAATGGTTAAAGGAATGTTAGTTGGTAGATGTGGAATCAGTCCATGTGGAATAAACACACTGTGTTTATGCCAGAGATGCTCCAGTAGTTTCACACAGCAAACCTGGGTAGAATATGACAATTAGGAGGTAAAGCTCTTAATCTCTGATTTAAATGCGGCTCAAATCTGTGATTTCTTTTGTTTAGGCCTGCTAGTTCATCTCAGCAGTTTTCATTTTGCAGAGCTTGGTGTGTTGTATGTGTGTTTGTCTGTATGGCCCTGTGTGAGGTTTGTGTTTATTTAAAAATGTTTTGTTTGTTACAGCTGTATGCGTTTGTGAGTAGGTACTGTAAGAGCTTTAAGTTAATTGAATCTTCTGTAAGAAAGAAGTGCACCATGAGGTTCCTGTGCTTCCACAACTTTCTTTTATAACTAATACGCCCACAGACACACACACGCATGCAGACAAAGCAGTGAATCACTTCCATCAAATTAAAGTGACTCTGGCTCTTCAGGACTGGTGTTATTTGTTTCTTCCTGTACCAACTCTCACTCTTCCTTTCTAGATGTGAGCCCTTTGCCCCGTTCTCTTCCAATATGACTATAAATGCATTTCCCAAACCCGACTTCTCACAAACTAAGAAAAAAACTAATATATACTTCACTTGTATTAGAAGTCTAGTATGAAACTTTCAAAAACCTTAGATGTGGTTCCAGGCATCTCGTGGCCATGCCAGTACAAAAGATGATAAAATATCTCATTGAAGAAAAAGGTTTTTATTACTATAACTTGACATTAGTGTTATGTTATCACCCACTCTTTCTTTATATCTCTATCTATCCTACACTGTCAGAAAATCAACTTACATGAGTTTCACCGATGATTTTGACCACGTTAACATCGATATTTAAATGCAAAAGAGTGACGGAATCATATTTCTGAGCATTTAAAAATCAATAAAAGACAGCGGCATATGATGCAGTATTTATTTAAATTGTGACCTATTTAAATTGACGCTATATAATGTCAGGTCGCCATATGGATTTGTCAGAATAATGAGACTGGCAGCACACTTGTATTTCTCTTAACATTGCTCTTGTAGGCAGTTTTTTCTTCTGAGACATGGTTATAGCCTAGTTTACCAACATGTTTGAGCTTCTCCTGTCAGTTAATCACTGCACATGTTGTTACTGTGTGTTTGATACGTGCCAGCTTGCACTGCTAATGATTCCTTTTATTTATAATTCCTTATAATTCATTTTTGTTAGCTTCCTAGTCCTGTTAAAGTGGTTCCATGTTCCAGAAACAGTGCATTGCACTTTAACGGAGCTGGGTAAACAAATTGGATGGACATAACGTTAGGCTATGCAAAACCAGCCACATCGCCGCCACCGTTAATGTCTTATCTCTTGTAAAAGTAGACCACAGTGCTTGAAAACACTTCTAATAAAGTACAAATCTCACCTCTATATGGCTTGTCCTAGTGGGTTTTGTTGTCCTTTTCTCTTTTTTTCTGCAATTTGCTAGATCCCACCTTGTATTGATCAAATGGATACTTGGCACATCAAAGACGACAAACTACAGGGCTTGGGCTGCCTTCTATTGTAATGCACAATGGCTGAAAGAATAAATTAAAATAAAAACAAAGACTTGACTAGAAGAATCTAAGTCAACTTAGGTCTCTTCAACTATTAGAGGGCAGCCCTACTGCTAATATTGGGAGAATCTTGCAATTTTCCACCCTCAGTAGCAACACACAGCTCACTTCTTCACTTAAAGTTGATCATTTATTTAATGGAACTATTTGGATCTGCAAATGTCATTTTTATTGGACCAATTTTAAATGTGCAAGTGAAGACCCACAAGTATGACTTGTCCTTTTTCTTCCTTATGTCTGCAGATTCTTCACATGCGGTCTTTTTCCATTATTCAGAAGAAATATCTAATATTCATACCTAAATGAAAGCTGTTCTATAATGTAGTTTGGAAAAGGGTTAAGATGGGAGCGAAGAGGATGGGTGGAACTGGAGGTCATGAGGGACAAAGAAATGATGGCGTGTGTGTGAGGGAGACTGTTTATGTTGGTATGTGTTTGAGTGAATTTTGCAAATGACAGAAGACAAAGCAGAAAAGCTGAAGAAAAATCAGCCAGCGGGAAGAAAAACTGAGAAGGGAGGTTGAAGTGTTTACTCACACATTGTTAAACAAACAAGGTGATAAGTTTCAAGCGCACCAGCAAAAAAAAGTAACCATCTCAACAATATTACTGTATGTCAGTGATGGAATTGCATGCAGCAGTAAACTGTCATGGTGAAGCATGATTTTTCTTTGTTAGAAATTGGCCGGAGGAAAAAAGAGACGAGACCATTTTCTTAAAGAAGGGACAGATATTGGCAGCACTCCTCGCTATCATTTCTGTTGCATGTCAACTTAGTATGTTTGATGTAAGGCAACACTGTCTCGCTACATCTCACGTACTGTTCTCACCATCCTTTGCTATACGCCTCAATGACTTCACCAGCTCTCCTCCACCTCCTCATCATCTGTCTGTCGCTTTCTCTATGGCTTTCTGTCTGTCCCTCTAAAACCCCTTTTCTGTCTTTTTTTTTTGGGGTGTGTTTGTATCTACTTCTCTCCATCAGCTCCATTCTTGTCCCCCAGTTCTTCCTGTCCAGCACTGTCTCTCTCTGTCAAGTATAACCTCCTTCTCATTGTGCCTGTTTCTTTTAGTCAATTCATCCAACCCTTTTCATCCCACACATTGTCCAAGTTGATTAACTGTGATGAGCCTCCACCCTGAACTTGATCATGCTTGCTCTTATGCTTTTTCTATTTCCAGTTTTTGATGTATGACTACGTGCTGGTGGTGGCCAAGTTAAACTACAGCTCATGTGAGCACTACATTACATGTTTTTGCATGATAAAATGTTATATTAAAGCTGCAGGGACTGTGGATGCCCTAAAAGGCTATAAAATAAAAATAGATTTGTATTAAGGTCTTTTTTTTTTTTTTTAGTTTTGAGCTAAGCTGTGGTTAAAGGGTCAGTTCACCCAAATTACAAAAAGTTTTTTCCAATTTATATTTGAATATTTTTGTCTACAACATATTGATACAAACACAAGCTGGCACAGCTTGTCGTGTGTTTTGTTTGGGCATCACATGCTGGTAGTTGGCAGACGCACGCTGCAATGTGTTAAAGGATTACAGAGGGTCATAAGAACGAAAACATTCCTTCTACAGAAATATTGAAAGGCTGCTAATGTTCATGAGTCATTAGTCATCAATCCAAGTCTGGAGTCAGTTAGGCGCATGTTGCAAGTTAAGTCTGAAGTCTTTTTACACTGGACTGAAATGAGTCGCCAATTGAGTGCCCATCTCAGGTGAAGTCAAACACATTAGCAAATGGCCAGTTTACACATCCAGCAGTCGCGGAGCAACATTAGCGTTCTTTTGGACACATTTTAGGTACCCTGGTGAGTGTACAAATACCATTCACTCTACTGTTACCGTAGGCCTGTTTTGGTCTCCACCAACTCCCAAGGGAAATACTTGGCAGCTAGCTGCTCCACTGTGTTCACTAGCTAGTTGTTAACTTTGTCCATGATGGTAGCCAGCTCCCCGGTGTGTGTGTGTGTGTGTGTGTGTGTGTGTGTGTGTGTGTGCGCACGTGTAAATGACAGTTGACAGTTTGTCACTATGAAGGAAAGTATCATGAGGCCACCCCTATGACTTATGACACTTCTTACATGACAGTTATAGGGGTGGCTTGACACCACTTTTTCATGTCTGATACCAATACGACAACCTCGAGCATCTGCTGATACCGATCCAATAACTCCCCAAAACAATTAAGCTGTTAACACATTTGTCAGGAGGATGCACTGTGCTTAATCTAGCTAGCTAAAAAGTATCAATCTCAAGCAGTGTGCAACAAGTGTTCTACTCCCCTAAAAGAAGAAATACACAGCCCACAACTTGACCCAGATGTGCGATACTGCTGCCTCATTTTTATTTAAAACGTTCACAACGAACGTTTAGCAGCATTTTGATTAGTCTGCACCTTTCAGACATTCAAAATAAGATTTAAAGTGCAAATTTAAAGAATTATAATTCCAGTGTCAAATACTGGATGTACAGTAACCTAGTGTACTGGATCAGATTCCTCGTCTCTGAAATGCCTGTTCACAGATTCAAGGAGGATGGTGTTCATGCTTTTCAGTTCCTTGTTGACCTCGGTTTCTCGTGTGAGAACGCATGTAAGGACACTGACAATGGAGATGACTGCAGATGCAGAGGAAGAGCTTACCTCCCTTGCCAACCCCTCAAATGAGGCTAGACCTGTGATGGTCTTTTCCAGTAGCCCCCACTGGTTTGCAGTCAATGTGGCTGGTCGGTTGTATTCACACAGGACCTGTTTCTGTGCAGTAAAGCTCTTGATCATGTAACACTGTTCCACCTTGTTAGTAGATCTTGCTGCAGATGCTTGGGCGGCATATTCAGCTCCAGTTGAATTTCCTCCAAGCGTGAATAGGCAAATATGATAGCAGTCCCTCACTCACACCAAATTGCAGTGTATGAATGAAGCATCCCAAACTATGACCTCCAAGGCAGTCCATTGCTTTTATGTTACAAGCATTGTCTCTTAAAATGACATGGGCATTTCTCAATTTTCCATGTATTTAACATCTCCATTGCTGCAACGATGGAGATGTGTGTGAGCCACGAAACTGTTTAACCTGCAGCACTGCTTTTTTGCAAAGTAAAGCTTGAGTCTATCTGCTGTGCAGTCAGGCTTAGTAATGACGTCTGAGCTTCAGATGCCAGTTGTGAAACTAATCATAGCATTATTTTCAAATGAATTAACTTGCTTGTACTTATTTGGGATAGCCGTGTCGGAGATGGAATGCTGGTTTGGCAACATATAGCATGGCTCTAAATACTCAAGCATTGAAATCCCATGTTTTTAACAACAGAAAGGGGTTGGTCATCCAGCACAAAGAATTCTCTGTTATCAGCTTTGCTTTGTTGCTTTCAGAGGGGAGTTTCTCATGCTCCCCTCCAGTGTCTGATCCAGTGATGTTGGCCAGTAGTGGATTAATACTGAATATTGAATGGGTGCATCCATAGACTGCCAGTTGACAGTTCCATTAATATTACTTCTAGATATGCACTGAAAGAACATCATCAGAGAAAGGGAAATGTGGGAAATGACATATGGGGTAGATATACAGAGAGAGGGAAAGAATGAGAGAGAGGAAAGTAGGGGGAGATGTATCCAAACAGATTGTAGTAGGTCCTCTGATGTTTCCTTCCAACATTTATGGTTTCATTTCCTGGTTTCCTAGGTAACAGCAGGATGGTGATCTGTTCTGATAAGAAAGACAATGAAGACATCATGAAAGGGGATTATAAAGACACGAAGTCAATGAGAAGGAAATAATGGAAGTAAGAAATGCATGTGAGACACAATGAGATAAAAAGTAAAGTGGGATACAATCATGATGAAGTGCAGTTGAGACTGAGTGAATGGTTGAAAGAACAGAATCAGGTCAAGAATGAGAAGGCCTCGTACTGCACTGTAGTGTCATTTAGATTTATGCATGTTTAAGACAAAATCGAAAACAGTCTGAGGGAAACCTCGTCTGTGAGATAAAGTGAGTTGACTTTGTGTGTGTGTTTGCCCATAAGGAAGAGATAAGAAGCTGCTGACAGACACAAAACATCCTTGTAGGGATGCCTTTCTTTCCTCATGGTCTCTGTTTTACTTCATCCTTTTAACCTTAATCTTACAGTAATTCTACTCACTTGTACTTGTTTGTTTTTACTTTATATTTCTTAATCAGTCTCTGTGTGAACAGAGAGAAGGGTATTTTGCTTTGTTGAAATACTTTCTCTGAATAATTCAAAAAGTAGTCAGTGATGGATGGATGGACAGGAAGGGTTGCCACAGTAATCCCTGGGATGAAAACAGCCTCAGAGGATATAAAAAAAGGACTTGAATGAAAAGGCCCACATATTAATATTTTCATTTGTGACCCTCTTGTCTATAAATTTTGATGATAATCATCTTTTAAACCATGTGATGCATCATAAAGACTCAATTTTCTCATGTCTCACAACAAACTGTGCAACCAACCAGCATAAAGACAGCAGAGAGGCGTTTCACTGAAGCATGCGTGGAACGCTGTATTGTTCATATGGAGTGTCACGCTAGCCTATTCTAAGGTTGTGTCCAAGGTTGCAGACCGCCATGAGTCACTTGAACACCAGGCCACTGATTGATGACAATGGATGCAAAAAAAAATAAAAAATCTGGCCCATCTTCATCAGTCATCCCATATGATGTGATTTAAAAAAAACAGCTGCATCACTACTGGCAGTGTTAGGTATAATCTACTTGTGTCAGAAAAATGACCACAAATTTGGCAACAAGGGTGGATGAAACTGTTAATGCAGCTCTGTGTTAACCGAAAATGATGTCAGATTGGACATATGAGTCACTCACTGCTGATACTGGTTAAGGGGGAAAAAACAACCCAGCTCCCAAACAGAAAACCAGGAACATGGACAAAATGCTCTAAAGGACAAAATAACTTTAGTGTTCTGTATTTAAACCAATATTTCTTTTTGGCTTCTCATATACTTGGTTACTTCTCTCCCAGGTTCTCCCTGCATTTTGCTTGCCAGTTGGAAGTGATTGCTAAAACCCATTATCCGCTACTATTCATTCTATGTGATCAAACAAGCTGATCTGTATTATAAAAACACTGTTCTGTTATATATCTGATATGAATATATGAAACCACTGGAGGCAGTAATGCAGTAAAGAAATACTTTATTTATCAAACCAGGCAATATTTTTAATAAAACAATAGAGGAAACAATAAATTATTTAAGGAAAGCATACAGTTTTGTCATGAATATATCTTTTTCTGAATACAGCAAAAGTAAGGTTGAATTGTTTTGTTTGTTTTTTTTCTAAAGCCAATATCAGCAGCTTTTCTCTGAGGTGAAAACATGACTGTAAAATCCCGAGAATCCTCAGAAGGAAAATGGAAGCTGTGGACAATTTTTTATTTTTATTTTTATTTTTTATAGCCATTACAAAAAAAAGTTTTTATTTGTTGACATGAATAAACAACAGCAAATCCAAATAATTACATTTTGAAATGTCTGATGCCAGCATGTGGTTCTACTGTAAAGAAAGTGAAGAGGAAACAGCAATTATGAGAAAAGAGTAATGTCTCTTAACTATACGTTTAGCCACAAATCGTCATCTGCATCTTTTGTGACTGAAAATACAACAGGGTAATTCACCTGTGAAAGGATGTTTCAAAATGGAACATACAGAAAAAAAATCAAAGCTCACATCAACATTGCATATGGTATGAGAATGGTGTCTGGGGTAAATTACTTGGGAATGTGACGACCGCACGATCTAACACACGCTTCATATATTTAAGGGTTTTATACCCGACTCCTGCCAAATGCCACCCATGACTCACACTAAACGTGAACATAAAAGCATCCGGCACATGGCTGAACATGTTTCAGTGTGACTGAGGATGTTGTCTGTGTCCTATGCCATTCTGTTCTATCTCTTTAGAAGAGAATTTGTTTAAAATTGACTTTTTTTTCAGTGTGAATCCAGCCTGTAAGCGAACATGTGACGATGGGAGACACATGGGAGGTGGCAATGAGAAGACCGATGACAGCGATTTATTTCTTACAGCTGGGTCATTGTGTTGAAATTGTGTTTGAATTCTTGCTCTGCTGCCTTGACATTCTAGATACTGGCACACACAGTCACTTCTACATTCATATGCTTGTATCTGCTGCTAGCTCTCCTAGGTTTAGTAACCCTCCACCCCTTAAACAAAAGGATTTCTTCCAGAGCTATTGCAGGCTGTCTGGCACGCACGCACACACACACACACACACACACACACACACCCCCTCAGGTATCAGTTGTATTTTCAGTGGAGTCCAAGAGCATTACTTTAATTCCTAGAGACTTCCTTTGCACTGTGCTGCTGCAGCCATGCAGAGCAGAGGGTCAGACTGTGTTAAATATGAGCAAAAAATCAGCACAGGCTCATTGAAACTGCTGAAGGAGCGGTGGCCTCTTTTCCTGTTCTATTGAGTGGCTCCTCTCTCAGCGCTCATCCAGGAGTGCTGGTATTCTACAGACGGCTTCGTTGTCCCTTTTCTGTCAACTGGGTCTCTTGCAAAATTTCCTCTCTGCCTCTCTTCCTGAGTGTCTCTCTTTCCTCTTATGTGTTTAGGGTCTGAAGATCATGGCTTTATCCGTGTTAACAGAATTCCGGTTTGCAGTTGGAATGCCAGGAATGCTCCGAAAAATGGGCAGCGCACAGCTGCCTGATCTGACATCTCCTTTGATGCGTGTCATATGCTGTACAGATTGTAAAGACCCTTGAGGCAAATTTGTGATGCTGGGCTATATAAATAAAACGTGATTTGACTTGAGTGATGAAGGGAGAGAGAAAGTGTCAGTGAGTGAGAGAAATGCAACAGGAAGCATATGGATCGAGATAGAGACGCAGCGAAGTGTGAATATATGCAGACAGGAATGTATGCAGAACAAAGAAGCCCTTCACTGATGCACAGAGCAGCGAAGAGCCCAGTATAAAGAACTACAGTTTTTGTCTAAGTAGGAGTGGCAGCCTAGAGTGAGTGTGTGTTTGTGTGTAATTCAGATCTGGAGGGTTGTGGTTAGCCTAATATAACTTCAAGATAAAATGTTATTTTGGTTTACATTTCCTTTAACACCCCCCCCTTCCCTTCTTCTGTCTCATGCTCACTCATCTCGGTGTGCTCCTTGCAGAAGGGCGGCCTGAGGTTTCTAGAAACAGTCTTTATATAACACAAAGGACAGCAAGACATGCACATGAAATGGGAATAAGAAGGGCTTTATATTGCAGTTGGAGTTATTTCATTTCAGTAAATCCAGCAAACTCTTAATCAAACAGTAAATGGAAGTTTAGTGCAGTACTTGTGTTCACATGGTATTATTTGTAATGTTGTATTCTTTCAATATTTACTTTTTGGAGAAAAAACACAGAAGTGTTTCCTGTACCAGGAAGTGCACGCTTCCTGGTGCACAAGTGAATTTTAAATGTGATCTCAATGGTAAAGATTGAAACTCCAAGATGCAGATAAGTTTGGTTTGGTTGGAAACATTTGTGCATTTACAAATTTGGCCTCCTGAGTACAGAGGAATGTAGGTGGTTTACTTGCAAGAGCAAATACCTAATCATTGTGTATGAGTCAAGCTGTGGCCTGTCAGTCAAATTGCTGCTTTCTTCTCTGCTGCATGCGTTTGCGTTGCTGTTATTCTGTGAAGTCTGTTGCAATATAGATGAAGAAGAACTCGTCCAGCAGTTCCAGATGCATGTGCCAGTTTGAGTGTCTCAGCGAGGGGACTGGGAGGGACATGTGCACTCACATGTTTCATGGTGTGTGAGAAAGATCTCATCCAAAACCCAGCGTAATCGTGGCCTCTGATGGCGCTGATGCAGAGTGATATCTGGGGCGTACTTCAGCACCTAGAGGAGACAGGGATGGAGAAGCTGAAAAGAAAGCTGACACAAATTGTTCCCTGACTTGTTGCTGGGCATTGCTCACTGGGTGTACGAATACACAGACATCACTGATCGCTACGCTTTTGGTACAGTAAGGGGAAAAATACGATCAATTTTTAAAATTAAAAATGGATGTATAAAAATAAAATACAATACAACTATTAATAAGTGCTCCAATAACCAGAGCAAGACTTTAAATGATGAAGGAAGCAACGTTTGTACTGTGCTTGTTATTTCCTTGCAGCAGTGATATTTACGTTCACATAGTGCCATTTCAAATTAGTTACAATGTTTGACCTGTTGCAAAATGTTCCGGATCACCACTGAAAAAAACATATTCAGTGGCAGCTGGAGCACAATAAACAAATAAGACGTCTTATTCACTCATCTTGTGTTCGCTGCTGTATTTCACCAAGAAGCTAGTGTGTTCCCAAACAGGAGACCTTAGTGATAAGGGAGGGTCTTCAGCTCTAGTTTCTCGTTTGTATCGGCCAGGAGTTTAACAGAACACAGAAACGGTGCACTCTGAGAAAAACTGCACATCACAAAATCTTGGCAATAAATCAGTTTTTAACATTCATTTATTAATTCCTTCCTATTTGTTTCATGTTAAGTGGGAGCTGGAGCCTGGCCCAGTAGGGGGACATCTAGAACATGCTGCCAAGGATCTAACTATTAGCTGTGCATCAGACAAAACTGTGTATAGTATGTAATCAAACATATCAGTCATCTTGTCCTTAAAGCTAACACAGTGCACACAGATTACAGGTGTGTGTGTGAAAAAAAAAAAAAATATATATATACACACACACACACACACACACACACACACACACACACACACACACACACACACACACACACAGACAGACAGACAGACAGACTGGTGTATAGTAGAACTGCCCTGATCCAATAGTATCAGCACCGATCCAAGTGTGTTTTGTGTACACCAAGCGCTCCCTATGTGCAAATGGACACGCTCCCGATATAACCACATGCGTGATCCTCCCAAGATGTGCACGTGAGGTGTTACACACTGCACATGCTATGCTTTCAGTGTAGACGGTAAGTTTTATGCTTTAGCCCAGTGGTGCTACAACAGGGATATCCCTAGTGTATAGAGTATACTGTTAGCATTTACTATGTCAGAAAGTTTCTATAATATGACTTTAAACAATAGCAACATCATTGTTTACAAATGTGGTGTCAGAAAGAAGTTACAGAGCTCTGTTTATACTGAAAGTTTAGAAAAGTGCTATAGACGTGATCTCATAGATTTAATCAGGCTTTTGCTTTGTTGCAAAAGGTTGTCACATTTTTACAGGCACCAATGCTAATGTGACAATAACATAACAATAAGTACAAATTTTTCCACAGCTGATGTCATGAATTTATTGTTCAAAGCCTAATGAAAGCGAGGCTGCCCGTGATTTATGCCAGGACTTCCCAGTATTGAAACAATAGTCTGAGCAGTAATGTTTCTTTTGAGGAGGTAGTTGCAGGTCTACTCTGTGTCTGCCTCTTCAGCAGAAACACACAGCAATACACAACCACACATTGATGAGGACCCACATACAGGCAGTTATTTGCACTGACAGTATATGCATACAGACACAACCACACCTTTTTCATGTTTTCATACACAGTGACTTGCACTCATATACACATGCCGTTGCACAATTACAACCCAAGTCCCACTTTTGTCTACATTCTCATTGTATGATTTTCAACAGTGAGAGAGAGAGAGACAAAGAGAGAGCCCTGCAGACCATGTTTCAATAATGAAGCTGTACGAGAACAAAGACACAAAGAGATGGAGGGAGGAGAGAGAAAAGTGACAGGCTTAAAGAACAAGAACTGTATGCTGTGAATGGATAAACTGAAAATGTGAATTGGGATGAATGAAAGGATGATGGAAGCCCAGAGAGGATGTGTGCACTGAGAGAGATATGGGGGAAACAGTGAAACGAAAGATGGAGGAGAGAAGCGGGGAGAAAGTGTGAGGCTGCTGGTGCATTGCTGCTTCATTGTCGATGCAGCGCCTGCCTCTGCATGCCCAGTTTCCCCCTGCGTCTTCCTCACTCTGCATCTGAATCGTTCTCCTCCTTGCTCAGTCAGCTGCTCACACACCATTCTTTTATCCCTGTTCAGGTGTGCAGCTAAAATATGGTGATTTTTACCTTAGCCTTGTGCTGTAATAAGCCCCCTCATCACACTTCTGTATCACTTCCAGCACAGCTCAAGTCAAAATTGAACACCATTACATTAACAGAAAGGCCAAAGAATACGATTTTGCAAAAGTAATACATTTCTCATTTCTTGTGCCCAAGAAAATAAAATCACTTCAGTAGGTGTAATACACTATGTGCACATGCCCTGAATGAGCCAGTTTGAAGTTGTAAGGGTCCTTCTCCTCATGTCAGATCAGCCTATGAAGGTGGGGGGGGGCTAAACTTTCACACCAGTTCTTGCAGTATTAACATGCAGGGTCTGAGTAATGATATGTCATGTTTACACTGTGGTCAGAATACAAAATTTGCACCACAGTTCTTTGTCTAGAAAACAGTGTAATTGATAACCACACTTGCTTTTACATCCTCTACTGCACTCAGTGGTTTTTAAATGCCACCTGCAAGATAAGTAACTTTCTTTGTCCTTTACTGTTCTGTTACAGTGATGGCCAACAGGAGCCAAATATCACATGAGAGTTACAGCGCCGTCAGCTTTAAAGCCCAAAAGCCTTTACTTTAATGAGAGGATGAAACCAGCAGTATTACAGATTTCTTGCCCTTTAATTGTACTTTTACCTTCCATTGTCCCTGTTTCTCATGTTCTCTTAAACCCACTTTTTGTAATTATAATATTCCTTATTATTATGTCCATCAAGGGTGTGGGTAATCATTTTACTGGCATTTGTTTGTTTAACAGCACAACTTAGAGTAAAGAGTGGATATTGATGAGATATTGTGGAGAGTTAAGATATGGCCCACAGAACAATCAATTAGATTTGGCTGCTGACTATATGTGAGCCCCCTTGTGGCCAAAGTGCAATGTTGAGCACTCAAAAGCACACATGGAGACAAATCCGTGGGTCAGCGACAGCTGCCCGTTCAGTGGAAACCGAGTGCTGTCACTTGGACACCCTGCTGTGTGACACAGCGACTGAAGGAGCCCAGTGAGCTGACAGCCCACAGCTGGGGAAAGATCTACAGTGAGAGCCAGTTGGGATTATCTTGATCCCAGATGGTGATGGCAGAGATTTAGAGCCAGGATCACAGTTGTTGTTATAAATTTAATTTTTTTTAAATTTTTTTTTAGACATTTGTTTTGATGTTTCTGGAGATGTGAGTGTTCTATCTGACCAAGTTCGTTCAGAGCACGGTAGTCTGTCAGCAAGCACACTGGTGTTCCACCTACGTACTGTTGGAGCCTAACAAGCAGCACTTCCCTTAACCGTCCACCCGGCATAATGTCACGGGTTGATGCTGAACATTCTGCTTAGCATTTCCACTGTCAGTCTCGGTGTAGTGGAGACACACTCATAGCTGAGCAGAGGACATGAAGTATCACTCCACAATGCAACATTCAGCCGGTAAAAGAGACTATGAGCAGTTTGTCAAACAGCTGTTGAACAAGCAGAACGCAAACTTACAGAAATGCAATGTCTTGACCACTTTGGCTGTGGTCCACTCACTGAAGTCCCTGTTTTACTCCTAAACCAACAATGAATGTCTGTCATGCCTAATGTTTTTCTTGAACAACTTTCAAACTAATATCAGTGTTAGCAACATGTTTTCAAGGTCAAGCAATTGCATTCTGAAGGTCAAACTATCATGGGAGTATTGCTTTTATGGCATTATGGGGAAGCGGAGTTGCCCTTTGACAGAGGTTTGCATGAGTGGTCTAGTTTATTATAAGATGCATGTTGGTGTGGATGGAATGTAGGTGTGCGTGTCTGTCTTTAGAGTAATACCCCTGTGGCCTTTGTATACTCTGACTGTAACGTCTGCCAGCTGTGATCAAAGAAAGAAAGCAAGCACTTGTAGTGTGAGCGATGCTTTGACCACCAGTCTGTGAACTTAAGCTGTGTGCGTCTTCATGTTATAAGACCTACCTCGTGAAGTTTGAGTGTCGTCTTGGAGGCCTGACAGGAGCAACCGTTGTTCCAGTTGTTGGTTCCACAGCCACAGTTGCCTCCACAGCGTTTCACCAGCAGACATCGAGGGAAGAAAACGGCATTGGTGGTTCTCAGCTCCTCCCGCAGGTTTACAGAGTAGTTGCGCGGGGTACAGCTGTACCGCTTGACATCATCATAGAGACGGTTCAGGTCAACTAGGCGTTGAGAGAGAAAATGCATTTTTTAAGTTTACTCTTTGCTCTGGTAGTTTTGCAGTGTGCTTAGTAGATGTCGCTTTGTACTGTAACAAGTTTTTCCTTGAATTACTCATACATTCAAATTTGGGCTTTGCTTTCTTTGAGTTTTTTATTGTGGCAGCTCACCTTTACCTTTCATCTGCTGCTGGCATACAACACATTACTTCAACATTGTAATCAAGAAATTACTATTGTCTTACACAATATGAAATAAACAACCACAAGCAAATATCTTCACAGCTGTTTCTGTAATGAAGAGAGAGAGAGAGAGACAAAAGAGCCATTTTGATTAGTACAGTTATTGCTTGTCCATTGCTTTATGTTGTAAATAGACATGGCATATTGGAGTTGGAGATAGAATGAAACAGGAAGGAGGTAAATAAGGCTAAATGGCTGTGATTCACATAAAAAATTGCTCAGTATTGATTGAATGAAAATAGTTGGGAGATGGACACAGTTATGTGCGGAGTTGCAACAACAATTGACTGTGGATGAACAGATGAAGAGATGTGTGGATGAAAGACAGAGACAAAGATGCAGAACCTAAACACAAAGGCCAGAAGAAGAACCATGGGCCATTAATTGACTGGAGGTTGAATGTACTGATTGCAGCCATTTGATCTCTTTGGAGAACTTTTGTTTGCTGGCCTGTTGCAAGGATGTAAAACTAATTTTAGAAAAATCAGACAGATTATTGGACAGGCTGATGGGAAGTAAGAGGCTAAAGTACACAGTCCAGGGAAAAACAGAAGCTCCAGGACCAGGAGACTGGTTAAAATTTGTTTTTACAACTGGCATTAGAGACCTCTCAGTGGATGGCATATAGTGTGTGAACGTTGTTGTACTGCAGAGAGGAGTGTGAGGTCAGACTGTAGCAGGTGGCCATTTACTGTATGTTGGAATTTACCCTATGTATGTAAGGAAACAATAGATGTGTAATGTGCCTAATGAGAGAACCATAGCAACCATCTCCACATTTGGTGTGACGTTTCTAAAATAACTATATGCTAAATGAGCGACACATTGACCACAGGTGCTGTGAAGGATGGAGGAGACCAGAAATTAAAAAAAAAGATGAGGAACAGAAAAGATGGAGAAAGAAGAGCAACAATCAGCAGTAAATCGACTGCTTTCCTCAATGAGGTCATCAGCAGGATAATCATGACCACACTGGTGATACCTACGGTGATTGCACGAGGCTATTCAACCAGTAAGTCACTCTACAATGGATTTAAAAAAAACACACACCAAACATTTTTTAAAGACAGGAAAATAACATCTCAATGTGTTGATTTTAATTAATATTATAAAGAAAGATACAGACTTGCACCCGTGGTCACTTGCGTGCGTTACGAACACGAACAATATGTTCATAAGGCATTGCTCCCATTGTCATCCACAAAAAATACATTCTTGGTCTAGGTTCCCCCAGCAGGTAAGTGAACTGGATTAGTTGATATTTAAGGAAAAGTGTAAATGTGAAGATGGACTAGAACTACAGTTGTAAGAAACATGCTAATTGATGATTAAGCTTTAAAATGCACATTGCTTTGAAATGGTGCCAGGTGAAAATTCAACTGATTCACTGATTTGTGCTCTCTGGTTTGATTTGTGTATCTAATGAAGAGGTGTACAGTCCAAAGACATGCAGTTTAGGTTGATTGGTGACTCTAATTTGCCCGTAGGCATGAGTGTGGGTGTGTGTGGTTGTCTGTCTCTGTCAGCCCTGTGATAGTCTGGCGACCTGTCCAGGGTGTACTCTGCCTATAGGCCAGTTTCAGCTGGGATTGGTGTTCAGGATAAATGATATAGATAATGGGTGGATGAAGAGGTGTAAAAATTTTAGGACTTAATGGACACATAAAGTACACAGGAGACAGTCTTGCACACCACTGGGGTCACCAATTGGACTACGTCTGATGCTTCATTAACTGCATAAACCATTTTAGCAGAGGGTGACTGAACAGCTTTTTAGCAAAAGCTACACGACAAGAATAAATGGCTTATGTGTTCACCTTTATGGTAGAAAGCGGCTAACCTCTGTCCAAAAGAAAGTACAAGAGGAAGCACTAAACTGATCAAAATAGAGTAGTGGGGTGAGCTGTTTACATGGCATAGTGTGTACCACAGAGGGGAACAATTCACCACTCTGCAGCCATTCAGGGAGTGGCTGCATAAGAATTGGCATCTGGCAGCGGCAGCATTGTCCACCTAATTTGCTTTTGTGTATCATTTCATTAAGGAGTTGTCAGAGTGAGTCTGTGACTGCAGATTGGTTCTGTCTAAGTGCTGAATACTCAGCACAGTGTGCTCTCTAAGATGACAAAGCAAGTGACGTGGAGATCTTGCACCGTGACTGAAAGAACGGAGATTTAGGTACAATGGCCATTGTACAGCGAGTACAAGGTGGGGTTGGTTGCTTCATAGACCATGTAGAGTGCACAGAGCCAATATTAGGGCAAAGCCTGGATGAAATTAGATAATCCTTTCTTGAAACAAGTCTGTTCTCTTTAGACACGTTCACTTGAAGTGAAGGTGAGAGGAAATTTTCTTAGGCCATTACTGGATTTTTCACTTCATTTAAGTACAGGAGTTAAGGATTGATATTTGTGTTGGGCTGCACCAATCTAGTTTAAAGAGGATGGCTTGCTTTTGAGCTTGGGAGAAACAATGCAACCATAAATGAAGTAGAAGCTGCCTAGGAATCGTATGTACACTATATTAGTATAACGATGACAAATCTGCCTGACATGCAGTATTGTGAGAGAGAGAAACCCAAGGCATGTGCTGTTGAGGTCAAGGGAAACCTAACTACTGATAATCAATAAGAAATCTTCACAGTGGGGGGTTTCAATCATGACATAAATCATGTGGAAAGCCCAGGGGGAAATAACATTTGGGTTCACACGCTTATTTGAATAAATTTGTTTATTTTTCTATAAAGATTTTAATGAATTCTATAAACATGAAATTATGGACTTTTGTATAATGGCTGATTTTAATGATCTTGGTGTATTTCTAATGATAAAGAACTATAGTGTGCATTGTGGTTTAAAGTTCTGTAGTCTATTTACTGAATCATGTGGACCAGTTTATTAAATTTTTCTGTGAACAAATTATAATATTGATATAACCCGATCATTACAGCTACAGGTAGAAATGTGCTATTGTGCACCAACTTCTTTCTTCGTTTTTCACGTCAACTGTAGATTTAAACGAGAGAGGCTCAATTTAAAGAAAACCCTGTGTATTTAAATAAAAATAAAAAACAGTAGTGTGAGTGCGTTTTTATGTAATATGAATAAAAATGTTGTCTAGGGCTGCAATCCATATCTCTTCCAGATAAAGTTGTAGGGGGTTGGTAAACAGACACGAGTTTGGGTCATTAAACAGTTTAAACGTATGTCATCCATCTAAATGTAGGAGTTTGTGATGCTCAAATTGTATTACAATTCCAAAATGAAAAATTACTGTACTCAACTCATGTGAAATAATTTCAGGCAAAATCATTTTAATAAAAGTATGGACAGTATAGTAATTGGGAATAGGCCAATTGTTGCCGGCCAAGCAAGACAGGTCAACTGGAATTGAGATAAATAATAATCGTAATTATGAATTTCATGTTATGGAAGCAAGTTTTAATTGTGGTTTGTAGCGAGCAAATCTTTTAAGGTTAGATGATTTCAATGCCAGTACAAGAAAGCACATATTTTGGCACATACACGTTACTAATACTACGGCTAAAACAAAGGCGCAGTAAGCAAAGGGGGAGTCAAGTAAAAGGTTCTGGTGAGTGGATAAATGAGCAGTTTTAAATCTAATTTGGAGGTGATATGGAAGACCTAAGACAAATTTTTCTGAGAAGCAGTGAGTTACAGTGGATTACCAATTAAAGACTAAAACAATGAAAGCACCAGGGTTTTTGCAAGCTGCCTGGAGTTTCTGGGCTAATTCTTGTGTGTCCACTTGGGAGGCTTCCTATGTCGCAAATTTCATTGCTAATAAACTGAGTTCTCATAGGTTTATTTTTGCTAATGGACCGGTTGGAATGCCAGAATAAGAAGTTGATGAATGAGTGGGCCAGAGCTGTGGATGGATAGGGCCCAAAGGAGGAGAGTTTGGCTCTCAACTCATGCTCCTTTTTACTTTGTTGTTTCTTCTTGAGTTGGATTCTTTTATGAAACTTTTCGAGTCTTGGTCTGACTACCTGTAAAATGCATTCTAGCTAAACCCAAGGATGCATGGTCCTGGGGGGTCGAGGTGTCCCTTGTTCAGGGACAGGTGGCTCGACTTCTCAAAGTTGGTGCTCTTTTGACTGAACATGTTATTCTTCTACAAAAGCATTTCTGATTGCAGAGCTAACATTTTACAGTTGACAAAGGCAGAACAATGCCAAGTATACTTTAAAAGCAATATTTAATCTAAGGATAAGGTTGATCATTTTCTATATTAACAGCATTTCAAACACTCCCCGTACAAAGACTAAAACCAACAATGATTTGCCTCTACTTCCAATCTTTCAGTCCTGGATTGTCTTATTTATCTGTGCCATAGACCTCCACTGTTGTTCAAAAACACACTGGGGAAGCACATCGCTGCTCTGGGTGACATGTTTCCTCATTACAAAACACCAGGCCCTGATATGTTTTTAAAATTTTGCCCCAAAGGCTCAGAATAGCCATAAATTTTTACAGTCTGAAGTCAGCAAGGTCTCTGGATATTCTTAACAAATATCAGGGTCTTGTGTTTCTTAATGAGGAAACGTCACTCAGTGCAGTGGTGTGTTTCCCTGATGTTTTGAATAATTTTTGAACAAAAATGGAGGTCTGTGACACAGACAAATAAAATAATCCAGGACTGAAGATTGACAGTCATTAACTGTGATAATCAGTGTTGTTTTTAGTCTCTGTATGGGGACTGTTGAAAATACTGTTAATATGGAAAATGACTGGCCTTATCCTTTAAGATGGCAACCTATAAGAAATGGTATGAATTGCCTGATAACACTTTGTTTCATCACATAGCCTTGGTAACACCAGGGTTGTAACAACAAGTAATATTTTCATAGTTGTCAGACTTGTGGGGATGTTCAGAGTAATGACAGGTGCCTCTAACATCTGTAATGTTCGTTCCCAAGGTGATGCGGGGCCTGACGTAAAGGAGCTGGTACAAAAGGACACTGAGTCATCTGCTAATGTATTAGCTCTGATCAACACATTCAGTGCGTACAACACCAGAGAAAAATACGTATGGGTGAAGGTGAAGGCACAGGTACATGAATGTGCAGGTCTGTGTTCTGTATGAGTGTGCAAGTGTGCGTCTGTGCTTGCACGGCTGAAATTGTCTGTTTAAGGGGAATAAGTGTAATCTCAGAAAACCAGTGGCATGGAACCCTGTCGGGCCATGCATGGCAGAAAAATACAGAGAGAGAAAAACCGAGAGCAAGACTGCAAGAATCACTGTCACTCACATGCTACAGCCAAATAAAAAGTATATGTGCATGTGTTTGTGTGAAAGATACAAAATATATTCTGTTCTATGCAAGAATATTTTTACATGAGGATTATTCTTTTTTTTTTTGTAAGCTTGACTTCAGAGGTGTAAAGTAACTAACTAAAGTAAGTAACTATTGTACATTTACTCAAGTACAAGTACTTGGTCTCTGGCAGGAAATTCACAAGTTACCCAATAGTATGTAAAGTACTTCAAAATATGAGCATATAAGGTAGTTAACATTAGCTCCATATTTCCCAGTGCTCACATTCTTGTGATGTACAATACTTCATCAGTAATTATACTCTAATAATATGATATACGTTAATGTGACCCAAGCCATTCCGCATGATGAGTACTATTTTATACCAATACTTTTGTGCTTTTACTTAAGTAACAATTTGAATGCAAGTTGTTTACTTGTAACAGAGTATTTTTAGACTGTGGTATTGCTACCTTTACCTAAGTAAACAATCTGAGTACTTCTTACACCACGGCTTGAGTGTGAGTCTGCATGCTCATGATTTATATGGATTTGGTGTCCCAATTCATATTATGATCCAAACTTCTGTCCTTTGTGGGAACAAAGGGGGGGGGTGGGCTTCTGTGCGTGCGTGCGTGCGTGCGTGCGCGTCTTAATGAAAACAAAGCTATGCTGCTGACTATGGCAGATTTCTGCTCCACTGCACAGGTTGAATTTTCAATTAAAGGGAGCTATGCTGGTACAGTGTATCAAAGACCTGCAGCACCTATCTGCCTTTCTGTAGGGCAGCAACGTGCACAAGCTCCCTGTATATGGAGCTGCCTCATGCCAGCCCAGCACAGACTTGCACTGATAAATAGAGATGGATTTGCTGTCAAGTGCAAATATTTACTAAGGAACAGGAGAACCCTCAGGTAGAAAGACAGAGAGAGATACAGAGGCAGAAGTGAGAGAGATGGGTCAGGTCTTTTTGAAGCTTGAATACACACACAAACATCTCTGAGCGCATTCTCCACAAATGTGTGACGCACATGCGTGTGTGTAATAAGCGTATATACATGCCAAAATTTCAGTCACTCCAAGATGTTCACTCTGTGCATGATAACATCTATTGCCTCAGTGACTCTGGGTCATTGGCACTGACTTCATAGTAAAGGATTGCCTTGAACTGCTGGTCCTCTCTCACCTTAAATCTGTCACTGAGTCGCTGTTAGAACCTCTAGAGGGCAAACTGCTCATTTGATGATGCAACAGCTTGGTCTATGTTACTGTATCATAACATAGCAGCTAGTTGTTGCTATAGTAATTTTTATATTTACAGAAAACAAAAAAATACAAATGTATTTAAATGTCCATATACAGCTTTTTCAAGTAATTACACACAAAATCATCTGTATGCTCCTGTAATTGTATTTTTTTTTCCATTCTGTGTTCAGCATAGGGGAGCAAAGTGCAGATGTTTCTTCCATTGTACATTTTTACCCTTCCTACATGCCAAGTGTCTACAAATAAATTCAACCGCCATTATAGTAGTCCTGGCTTACTGGACACAGGCTGGATAATGGTAATGAAGGTTCAATTGAATAAGCAGCACTTCATTAGGATGGATTCACTGGCTGTCACCTGTGCTATTTTTTGATCATAAGGTAGCAATATGGCTCCATAACAGTCATTACAGCCATGACTAATAATTTCCCTCCAATTACTGAACCGTGGACTTTGTCCTCAGCAAAGGCTGAACCATTGAATGTAGTTCGATATGTGAGATGTTCAGCACAAGGCCGCCCTCCCCTCTATTACAACAGGTACCAACGACTGCACCAGACTGCAGCAAAATGTCGTGTAGACAGCACAGTTGATGAGGATCACAACAGTGCCACAAAACAGGACGAGAGCATCACTGTTATCTTCCTGCCTCAACTTTACTAACTCAGCATGTCCCTCCCCTGATCTCATTATAAACATCTACTTGTGTTTATACCTAAATATAATTCTAATTCTTATTATGCAAGAACAAACATTATTTTAATGCTGCATAACAAAAAATACAGTATCTCCTTGATCCATATGTTCCTTGTCCCAAGAGAAATATTAAAATGTCTTTTTTAATGGCTGAACAGATTTTCTTCCTGCAATTACAGTCAGCCTAATAGAGAACATTATGTGTCTCTGGAAATTAGGATTGTTACTAGAATTCAAAGCCTCATCAAGCATTATTTTCTACAATACAGTATATTCATGTAGGATCAGGTGTCTGCGCATGACATGAAGGGTTTTTAATATTATTGCACCACTGATCAATCACCTGCAAACTCTACACACACTCCCACCTTTTTGACACCAGATGACAGAAGCCTGGTTTTTGTAAAAGCATATGCATTTTTGATGCTTTGACTGTTTTAATTACATATAGCTGGATGTTTTCTTCATACTTGTCATTTGATAGCAGTGAATACTGTCTCTTCATCAAATCCACTCATGCTCTTTTTTTTTTTTTTGGGTCCTGTCTTGTAAAACCGCCTTGTAATGTTAGCACATACACTTTGTATCACGTATTAGAATCAAATGAAAGTGATTATTGTTGGAGCACAGTCATCCAAGACTGTACACAGTATGCACTTGTGTTTAGTGCGTTTAATATGATGTACATACATATGATTATCGGATGAGATTGTGTATGGGTACTAGATGGTTTGTAAAACTTACAGGTATAAAGCCTATCTTACCTTTGTTGTGTCTGCTTGCCAGATGGTAGGCTCTGGATCTGTAATGTATGTGTGTGTGAGTGTAGATGCTGTCCAGATCCTGTCTCCAGGTGTCTGGGCTCAGGGATCTGAAAAGCTGCTCTACAGTGTCAAAAGCAGCTATGGTCCAGTCCAAGTCCTCGAGAGAGAAAGGAACCTGTGTGACCGCCGTTGAAACATGCCGTCCACCAGTGCCCTGTAAAAACAAAAATATAATTTATTTATTTGTCTATTCTAACTTAACAGTTTCTTAGTTTACAGCATTCCTATCTATAGCACATTGGGGCTAACACAGGTATTTGTGTGCTCTTTTTTAGTACAACATATCTATAAATATATTATATGACTAACTCTAACATAACCCTATTTCTTGGAAGAAGGTAGGAGATTTTTTTTTAAAATAAAAAAATCAATATCAATTATTTAAAGGATACAATCCTGATGATGAATTGACATTTCCTTTTACATAGTACAGTGCAGTTTAAAAAAAAAAGCATTCATTTCTTACATTCAGTGGTTAATCTGACTAAAAAAATGTCTGGTTCTGGCAATAATAGTTCTAACTGCAATGAAGGTCAAGCAAGTTCTAATTCATAAAGTGTGTATGTGTGTGCAGGTCTCACCAGCATGGGCAGAGTGACGGCCTCCCAGTTGGTGTTAGATGCAGGTAGAGGAGAGTCAAACTGTACAAATAATCAATCAATTGATCAGTTCAGCATACAGTGGATAAGGAGTCACACTGAAGAAAAGGAAAGATAATTAATGACAGTTACTTTCTGTTCCTTTTGATGTTGGTGCCCCTGTAGTTAAAAAAGCAGCTAGAGAATGTTTAGCTGAGGCCATAAAGTACTGTATATCCACACCGATGTAAATACAGTAGATTTATGTAAGACGATTCCTCTCTGTCATGTGGTGGCTTTGTAGGAATGTAGGGGGTCCTGTTGGGTGGCTGACTTGTCCTCCTCAAAAGCACATTTACATGTTACAGTTACTGCACACAGAGGCTTTTATGTTTACTCGGGTATTCTAAGTGGTGAGGTTAAGTAGGTATAGTAAAGGTTAAGGAGAGATCATGATAAGGCACAGAAACCCTGGCAGCCAAAGGCAAATGCCCGTTTATCGCTCCAGTGCTCTTACTTTTTTTACTTTTCAAACGGGAAACAAGTATTCACGTGTACTGTGATGTAAGGTCATCCAGGAAATGTAGGTGTCCATCTGTCTAACTGATGGACTGTTACATCAGCAGTAGCCAAGAACAGTTTCCACTTTCCAAGCTGGTCACAACAGGCCTTTGTGTGAGTCAAAAAAATCTGACTCAGATTAAAGCACATTTGGGTGATAAACACTCATTAGATCGACACATTTGGCACATGCATGCACATTCTTTGTCTCTCTCTCTCTCTCTCTCTCTCTCTCTCTCTCTCTCACTCTCTCACACACACACACACACACACACACACACACACACAAAAACAAACTCTCACTTGCTATTGAATCCCTGTCCTTGAAGAGTCTTAAATACCAGCTCCAGTCAATGTGGAACAGTAAATCTGTCTCAACCACACTTCAAAGACTGAGTGGCCTCACATCGTCTTGGTGTGTATGTGTGTGTGTGTGCAGGTATTTGTATGGCTACAAACTGTGAGGACTAGTTTGACTTTTATACCATGGATATTTGGACATTTTGTCAAAGTGCCCTCACTTCTTCACACCCCTTCAAAGGGTAGAGGGTATTATTACAGTAGGTTTATGTTAGGCTTAGG